CATCACAGCAATAAAAACTGCCATACGCCCTTGAAAGTCTTGATGGCCTTAAGCCATAGAGGTCTATTTGAATGTTGCAAGGAATCTAGGAGCATAAACTTGGTAGTTGTTAAGGCACATAAATTTGTTCCAGGCAGTCTTAGGCACCTCTGCACAAGGCGCTGGCCGCGGAACCCAAGGTCGAGGCTCCTGGCAACAGCACTAGGAGTTTTACAGAAACCTCTAGGATGCGGGCTTGGGGTTTGAGTTTTCAGGCTTTGAGTTTACGATATTAGAATTCAGGGCGGTTAGGGTTTGCACTCCCCAAGTGGGCAACCCTCGAGGCCTATTCTTCCTACATAATCCCTATATATCCCTATATAACCCTATATATTCCCATACATCCCTATTTTCCTTGTTACCCCGGAAATCATCCCACGCAAAGGGCGCCTCTGTGCGTGGCTCCGCTTCCGGCTCTGACGGCAGCCGGGGAAGCGGCTGGAAGTCGACTCCCTCAGGCTCTCCTTGGGAACAGTTTAAGACTTAGCAGCTTTGTGGGTTAGGGTGTTTAGGGTTCTGGAGTTGTATGGGTTTGGGAGGGCTAAGAGAGTTTATGGGTTGAGAGAACTTATGAGCTTGGGGGTTTGGAGCTTTGAGCTTATGGGTTTAGGGAAGCTTGACACTGCTGCCGTGCAGTTTTTGTGGCTGACACAGCCGCCTTTCATACCAACTGAGGCTCTTCGCTGCGGCCCCGCCTTGCCGCCAGCAGGCTCACAGGCTGGCTGTGGCTCCTGCCCAGCGGCAGAGTGTAAGCTATCTGTCGGTCGGCCAGGGGTTTGGTAGGCATGCTAACGAGAAAGAGAGCATAACCACAATAGCTAAAGGCGTAGAGAGCGAGAGAGAACAGAGAGAGAGAGAGAGAATCCGAAAATTTGCATGCTCACAGCGCAACACAACAGAACAACGGTGCAAGGACATCACCAAACATGCATAGCCTTCTGTCCCTCCCACCCTTGCTGCAGTAAGCCTCTTTGAGGATGAGCTTGCAGGAGGCAGATCTTAGCAACCTCCTGGAAGGATAGATTTCGTGAAGCTATGGGTCCTGGTTTCAGTGGTTTCAGTGCAAGGGTTCCATGGCATAGCTGGGGCTGTCTCTGATCTAGGTGTTTTTCTGCGGGGGTACACCATTTCTCAAGCTTGATTGATGGATTGACTGATTGATTGCAAGGGGGATCTGCCATCTGGTCATGGAGGCTTTAACGAAGCTGAAGGCCCACAAAGCCTGAACTGTCCACGCAAAGGTTGACCAGTCCTGGGTGATCCCACTTCGGTAAATAGCTGCCATTAAACTCTTTGGTTTTCTGTTTCGCTCTGTGCCGTGTGGAAAACTCTTCCGCGAACACACGGGCATAAGTCTCGAGATGTCTGCATCTTGCCATATCTTGGCGAGTCAACTACAATTCCATGGTCCCCTCATATCTTGTACATGATCTTAATTTTCATAGTCAGGCATGTGTGCAAGCAGTCGCCAGGTCGCCTCCTGTCTTGCGACTTGGAAGCGGTGACGTCCGCCCTTAGCCCAAATAAATCTTGGAGAGTTTAGGATTGAGGACGCCTGAGATAAAAGCCGCAGTTTGAAGCGACAAGCCCCAAAAGGTAGCCGCCATGCTTCACATGACGCCTGCACCAGACACTTCCAGCACTGTTTTCACATCAACTGGCGTTCATGACTTGTTGATGTCACCCAGCCTTCTTGAAACAAGCCGAGATCATGCTCGCATCCCCACATGACAGTATTCGAAATGCTCTCCAAAATTAGAACCTTACAAGCATAACTCCGTCCTTGCTCAAATGCAACTCAAGTGCAACATGCACACTACTTCCTAATATACAACACCCCCAAGAGGCACTATACGTTACAGTAGCTTCACGAGTTCTACTACGAGTACTGTTGACTGTTGGTTCTAATGTCAAACATGCTTTACTCCTCTTCAGGGCTGTTGAGGACACTGCCCCGCCATCAGCTGTCTTACTCTCATCGTTTACTGTCGACATTTTACACTCTTGGTATGACTCGTACACCTCTTCTGAAATCCAAAACCAGGTTTGAAAAGAAAGCCAACATCCTCACCCGACTTTGAGGCCAGGAAACAGCGGTGGTCGAGTCGCCTGTTGACAAAGTCGTTTCAAGCTCTGAGCGATACTGTTGCAAAACACACGGGAGGGTAACCTCACTTGGCATGCAATGCATACTGCATACATAAGGAATACATTCACATTGCCAATGTCAAAACGCAAAAATAGAAGAGTAAGCGCATGTTCTTGTGTACGACTCAGAACCTGTTCTCACTTATCCAGGGCACAACCGCACAGTAAGGGCTAGGGCCAAACAGCACCACATCAGACTCCATCAGGGACCTGCAGGACGCTTGTTGCCCACCACCCAACCGATACCCGCTTGTACACATCACATTCACATGCACTCAAGGGTCCCTAGTTTCCATTCTTATTTTCCATTTCCCCATATAAACCTTATATTATACCCCTATACCATAACCCTAAAAAGTAATTTCTATTCTAATTTCTATTCTATTTTCCATTTTCCCTGGAATCACACCTCCCAACACCTCGTTCCCACCCACGCCTCCACTCTCGCCTCCGGACTGTCCCTGCTGCGCTTTTGAGACACAGACCTGGGGATTTTGTGGAGTTCTGCTTGCAGACATGTGGAGGTTCACGATTATCTAGGATGCCCCGTAATCAAATGGCCTCCGTTTTAATAATTAACCTAGTTCGATGCAAAAGCGAGCTAGGACACAAAAAGGCGCAACTGCAGCTGCAACATGAGAAACCTCATAACGTTCATACCAGCCCAGTAAAACCAAGTTCGCAGCAGCCTATCTATCCGTGTTACATTCCATGTTCTTTCCATTTAAGTCGCCACTATCCTGACCCTAAATCCTAGACCTTTAGCAGTAGTTTCCATTTAACTTTCCATCTTCCTTTCCACTTGATTTTCCATCATTGCGGTAAGATCCTGAAACGCTGTTGTAGTTTCAATGCCATTTTCCACTCCCCCTGTAACTCTATGTAACAGAACACATACGTAGCCCTAGCAGTTTTCATTGTCGTTGCCACTCCCCGCATGACCCTATATAACACCTGTCCATTCCCCGATCCCCTGTATGAGCTATAGTCTGAACTCCTAGTATCCCCCTTAGTAACCTCTATAGTAGTCCCCTATATAATCCCTTATATAACCCCCTTAAAGGAGTTTAGATTACAGGTCATATAACCCTTATATAGCCCTATATTTAGCAGTTTCCATTTCATTTTCCATGTTCTTTTCCATTTGATTCTCCATTCTTGAGGTATATAACCCCCTTTTCAAGAGCTCAGACCCCAAACCAAAAACCCTGCATTATATAATCCCCCATACAAACCCCTATAGTGGGTCATGTCACCCAATATGAAGAAATTTGAGGAGCACCCTCCGGCCTGGCGCGGGCCTTGGCCGCTGGCGCAGGGGCTGCACCACCTCAGGTTTAGGGTTTAGGGCTTAGGGTTTAGGATTTAGGGTTTAGGGTTTAGGGTTTAGGATACATAGGTGTTATTTTTAGGTCACCGGTGGAGTGGAGAGGATGGAAATGACCCTAGTGCTTAGGGAGATCACCCCAATTCTGGAGAATCTTATGGGACAGACAATGGAAAGGGACCTTGCAGGGATATGTAGGGAACATAGGGAAATTGTAGGCGTCCCCTTGAAGGATTGCAATATACTACAATATGTCACAATATACTATAATACATTATTATATACTATCATATATTATAATATACAGCAATATACTATAATATACACAATAGGCAGTACTCTGCTAGACCATTGCACGGAAGTACCCTTGGAGCGATGGATCCTTTCGAGATTTGATATCTTTTGGATCCTTTTGGTAAGCACTGCCTCGTTGCCTACTATTACCTTATGATACTCAACTCCCAAATTCTCAAGCCTTGGGGTAGTTAGGGTTATGCAGGATTGTCAGTATCAAGCATAGCGCGTCTTAGGCTAGGGCACCCCTGAGCATTCCCGGTAACGAAGATTCCGAATATAGCAGAGCAATTCATTGCAATTTGAACAGTAGTGGCTAGTCCGGCATCATCAAAGAAGCATGAGAGGACTACTTTTTGAGGCTATGCGATTTGTCATCTCCCTAAAAAGTAAGCTTCGTTTTGTTGGTCTCGCTATTCTACGCTAGTGCTAAGAAGGGTAACTCACCGGACGCCGTGGTTTCTGTTTGGACTGACTTCAAAATGTGAGAGGTTGTCAAATTTGCGATCTTTTTTGGTGTCCCTTACAGAGTTTGGCCCAGCATAATTGGAGTGACCCAAAATAAAGACCACAATTTTGACAAGCTACCTGTATTATACCCCTATATTCTACCCCTAAATAGTAGTTCCCATTTTATATTTGCATTATCCCTATATAACCCTTGTATTATACCCCTATATCAATTTGTCTATGGATTACCGAAAAGCTCAACTTGGAGTCCTGCCTGCTGCGGCCGGTGCCTCTGCTCTCAGCTGCCGCTGCCTGAATTTGTGCAAGTCAAGAACTATCTGGGCTTAAAGTGCTTTAGGATATTTGGGTGTTCTGTAAATACGTAGCTTAATATATCAGGGTCTATATTTCGGTCACCCTATTTAGGGAAACTACCATTTGTTTTCAAGTCATGAACTGAACTCGTTAGATTTGGGGGCTTTAGGATGTTTCCAGCACGTTTGGGGGACATCTGTCCTTTCTCGGCATCACACATCAGACGTTCCGGCATCCTCAGCTGGGAATGTGGTTCCTTCCAGCAGGCCTGCCTGTTGGCATTCAATAGTGCCAGAAAGCGAAGGCCCCGCTCCTTGCAGGTAGGCAGGCGCATTAAGAGATATAAAGGCATTATATGATTCTAGTTACGAGTAACTTTCTCAAACTCTAGGGTAGAAGTGGAGTCTAGCTTGTATAGTTTCCTGTTCTTCTACGATTTCTCACGGAACCCATGTCAACACCACGAGGTTGCAAAGTGGAAGGCTGGTCCCTAGACTGAACCGCTACAAACAAAGAACTCGGCTCAAGGTTGAGATCTGGGCCGGGACTACTTGATCACAACCACGGCTGTTACAATGATGATACTTAGACCTGGTCAGCACCATCACTGGGAAGTTTCTCAGAATGGGGGGGACCCTAGAGAGCCAAGGATATTTGAGCATCGTTCTGGGAAATACACATTGAAATCCTGGCTGTTGGTACGGCGGTACTTCTACAACTGCTGCTACCACGACTCTTCCCTCACATGTCCTGGAACTTCTCCGTAAAAGCCCAGAAGCACTGCCGGGCACAGGAGCGGACCTGTGTCTGTTTCCAGTCCGCAGAAGCATCAACTGGGGTCGTCTTTGCTTGCAAGGCCCTATAATAGTAGTTTCCATTTTTCCCATTATCCCAGAACAACCCTAGGGTTTTCCATTTTATTTTCCATTTTCCCTAAACAACTCCCTATATAATCCCAATATTCCTTTTTTTGACTGAAAGTCTCCTTTCCATCAGGACAGAGCCAGTTGCTGCACACAAGGGGTGAACCCTCTAAAAAGGATAGTTGCTGGGTGTCAGCACCTCTCTTCAAATACAAGCACGTATGACTTGCTGCTCAGCGTTTGCTGATGTGCCCTGATTGTCCTCTTCTTGGGTCTGATTGGGTTTGTACATGAGAAGACAATTCCATGCCAGTACCCTAAACCCTAAACCCTAAATAGTAGTTTCCATTTTTCCCATTATCGCTGAACAACCCTAGGGTTTTCCATTTTATTTTTCATTATCCCTAACTAACCCCCTATGTAATCCCAATATTTGTTTTTTTTGGCAGACCCTACTGCCCAGCAGCTAAGCCGAGCAAGTTCCTTTGTGCCTACATGCTCAGAGCAGGTTTTTGGGGGGCATATACTGCCGATGACTATATTCAGGCTTCTACGTTACATAATCCCTAAACCCTTTTTATCTTAACCCAATCACAAACCCCTCAACCACAAGGAACCCTGAATCACCCAGCAGCATCCAATCATCTCTTCAACACCACTGCGTCCCGGTGTGACATGTCTTTAAAGGACTCTAAGGATACATGGGGGGAAGAAGGTGCTTCTAGGCTTCCTCCTAAATGATTGCTTTGAGAAACTCTCAAATCCTCAATTATCCTCTGCTGCTCACCTCTTCGCGCGCATCTTCCAGGCCATCTCGAATGGCCTGTTGCAAAGGTAGAAGCAGGAATGTACCAGAATCTTAACTGATAATAGATATCATTTGTAATAATAGAAGCTGTAGTATTACTAATAATAGTAGCCATAGAATTTTCCAGAATTTTACTGATTCTTCTTAGTAGGGAATATGGGAATATGTTCTATGCGGACAGAATAGGGATTCTATTCCCATATTCCCTACTAAGAACCAGTAAGGAATTAGACGGCAATGTGTTCAGTATGTTAAGCTAATGATTTGGGCCAGAACTCTCTGAGAAGCCTCAGGGATGGTTCTTTTTGATTTGCCTTAGGGATTCTTTAGGGTTTGGGAGGATAAGGTTTAAGGTTTAGGGTTGGGGAGGATATTACCCCCAATAATGGAGAATCAAATGGACAAGAAAATAGACCTGGGACTAGTTGATTATTCGGACCCCTGCGGAAAATCAATATGAGGCAGCATACGCCCGCATACTTGTTCTTTTGCTTCTGGTACCCCATCTGGCTTCTGCAGAAGAAATGCGCACAGCGACATACCGCGTCTGGACCGCTCAACACAGCAGGGATCAGGTCTGGCGAATCATCCCGGCCCCTTATCTCCATCAAATGCTCTCCGTTTTACAGATATGGCCCAAGGGATGGGGCGTGTCATTTTACGAGGATAATTCTGATCAATTTCACTTGGGACAGGGTAAGCGCTGCTGAAATGGGCCGCCTTCTGCAGCGGCTCTGCCAAGCGCTCGAGACGCTCTGCCGGGTGCAGCTGAAGAGCCAGGAGGAGGGCCTGGATGCAGATTTGAGTCATTACAGTATATTATAGTATACTATCGTATATTACAATATATTTTAGCATATTACCGCATATTAGTATATTATGGCATATTAAGATATATTATAACCTATTACAGTCTGTTATAGTGTGTGTCTGTCATAATATATTTTGATATATGAGCTTTTAATAGGCTTTGGGCTTTAGAGCCCTGAGCTTCAGAGGTTGTTTCATCATCTGGGAGGCTCAACGAAGTTTACCGAGGTTTGAGGCTTGTGTTTGGCTTTTGCAGAGAAATCTATAGGGGGTATATAGGGGGTATGGAGGGATAATGGAAAAGAAAACGAAAGCTAGTATTTAGGCATGGGCGTTGTGGCGGGTGTTTCTAAGCATGAATACTGAATGTTCAACAGATACACAACGTCTGTAATCCACAAAGAAAAGACATGCGACGTCAAAGCCCTGTTGGGCGAAGTGCTAGAAATTCAAGATTTGAGGGATGCGGGGTGTGGAGATCAGGTTTCAGCTTAACTTTGGTAGATTATAGTTCCCTATAATCCCCTATATAATCCCAGTTTCCATTTCATGTTCCACTTTCTTTTCCATTTGATCCTCCATTATTGGGGTAATATCCCTATATACCCCTTTAAAGGGGACCTTGGGTTTCCATTTCATTTTCCATGTTCTTTTCCATTTTGATTCTCCATTATAGTAGGTACCCCTAATTTTGGGAAACCCTAATCCCTAGAATCCCCTATATAATCCCAGTTTCCATTTTATTGTCCATTTCTTTTCCATTTGATTCTCCATTATTAAGGGGGCTCATGGTATATGATAGATTTAACAAATAGTAGTTTCCATTTTCTTTTCCATTATCCCAATATAACCCCAATATACTATAGTAGTTTCCATAGTTTATGATGATGCTGATGATGATGATGATGATGATGATTCCATGGCTGACAGCCTATCACTTCGGTCTATGCATATGAGCTATAGCCTAAACTCCTTAAAGGGGGGTTATATAGGGGATTATATAGGGGACTACTATAGGGGTTACTTTAAGGGGGATACCAGGAGTTTAGACTATAGCTCATATGCGTCTTCAGAAGGTGGGGCTTGCATGATTGCTGGCAATGCCGACATGGCTACCAGCATCTGGGCGATGCGTTTCGTCCGTGAACCTACAAAACGGCAGACTACCCATATGATCTACAATGGAAACACAGCTTCAACAGAGACTCAACAGACCACCTGAAATAGATGATGTCACCACGTCCTGAGAAGTAAGCATCCCAAAAAAAAACTACACTGCAAGGACCTCAAACAAGCTGGAAAGGACTCTCTGACCCTCAACCCTAAATAGTAGTTTCCATTTTCTTTTCCATCATCCCTATATATAACCCTACCTAAACCCTAAACCCTCCTAAACCTTGATTCCAGTCGTTGTAAATGGCGGCCTGCAACCCGCGATGACGCTGCACGCCACTCCGAGAATTCCTGAGGGGTGATATAGGGATAATGGAAAATCAAATGGAAACTACTAAAATTGGGCTATTTAGGGTTTCGGGTTGCACTCAGCTGCCCTCAGAAACCCTGCAAGCGTCAGGAAGCCGCTTTTCTCAAAGGGTCCCTCATGTAACACCCCAAAAGCTGAAGTCTTTCTCAGAACTGCCACCTCATATGAATCCACGAGCCCAAATGCAGACATGAGACAAGTAATTCGCGCAGATTAAACAGGTCACACATCCAAAGGTGACGACCGTTACAAGGATGGCCACCCCCAAGGGGCCCATCCCGGTGAAGGTTGACAGTTTTCACGCAAGACAAAAACACGAGGGTCCAAGAACGACGACGGTTTTGAGTTGAGGATGGCCAACCTGCGGGGTTTTTCAAACGCCGCTTTCCAACACAAACGCAACAACTTTTGGTCACCTCCCTGGACCTTGGATCCGACACTTGAACCAGGAACACTTTCGTAGAGCTTCAGGGAAAGCACCTGGTACAACTACCTCTCTTGTTCACTGCACGTGCTTGCCAAGGCTCACTGGCTCCAAAAGGGCCTCTGCGTGACAAAGCCAAGAAAAGATTGCAAGTACGCATGCTGCACCCCGTCAGGCCATCAAGCACCAACAGCCGGGGGGCCTGGACTATGCGTATGCTGTGGCAGGCTCGCACAATGGCGCAAGCACAGCGAAAGCCTGGGCGCAGGCAACGATCTCTTTCGGATCGAGGACGCACACTATGGCAACTTGAACTGCCTTCTAATGGGGCCATGCTGCAACTCTCTGCTATCACCAAGATGGTTACGGACGTACTGCGGAGCAGAACCTTAGTTGCAGCAGGTTTGGGACTCTTTCTGCCGTCAAACCCAAAGCTTCACTTGCACGCAGTCCACAGTGAGCTTGAGTTATGCTGAGTCTGTGATTCTTCATCCAGAACTTTGCGCATTGCAGGTGGCGGCCAGAGCAGCTGCTGCCAAGGCCTCTATGTCGACTCCAAACCTTGGGGCGCAGTCCAATGCCTACTACCAGTTCAGCACCCTCTTGCAGCCGCGGAACGCTTCAGCCAATAGCCGCAGCGCGACGCAGGCCTGCTAATACGGGGAGGCAAGAGATGTCAAAAGTGCGCCGGAGCTCAAAATCCACAGGCCTCGCGGACAAGCGCCGAGCGCAAATCGCTGACCTGACCGCACGGCGAAACAATCTGCATGAGATGCGTTTCAGAGTTACCTGGCCTGTGCCAGCAGGAGCTCCCGCAGCTTAAGCACACCCTGTACGAAGCCTTCCTGTTGCACACTGCCCAGGACCTGAGCTCAGCTTGCGTTGCAGCACCAGAGAATCAAAAGTGTCTGAAGAGCCAAGCGGCCAATCCCTGAAGCCTTTTCAGCGCGCGACAACGCTCAGCCCAGTCCTGAGAGGAGCTTTTTTGGTAGAGCTTGGTCAAGGCCGTACAAGAAACAGTCCCTTCGCTGCTCCACTTTTGGAGCCAAGGAGCATCGCGCTTCTGAAGTGACCGCTGTAACCTTGTGAGCCCGGCGATTGCAAATTTGCTTCCCACACGCAACTGGCATGCCAAACAAATCCCACTTGGGAGATTCCTCTCAGGCAAGATCCTGGCTAGGATGTGTGATCGACTACATAATGTTTGTGGGGCTCACCAATCTGAATTCTTGCGTCCCAATCTTTGCAGCTTGCGCTGGGGCACGACTCCATCTCGCGAGCAAGATCACGGCCTTCAGTTGCCAGCACGAGTGCTTGGCTGCAAAGCGGAATCAGGACCTTAGAAAAGCATCGGCGCCTGATGCGCAGCAGACCGGCTGCACATCTTCTGCTGGTGCCTGCCAAGGCAGGCAGGGCCACAAAAATTGCAACATTTTGCACTGGAGCAACAGCATCCAAATCAAACGTGCATCGGGAGTGCCAGATCCACGGAGGCATCCGTAAGCTTGCGTGGTGCCATTGCACAAGCAAGTGACCCCCTGTCGCATCAGTATTTGCGAATGACAACACGGTGTAGATCTTAATAGTTTTTCCGATTTTGAAATTCGGTGTCTTTTTTTGCAAGGCAAGTACTCGCAACCTGGGGCTGAACCTGCGGGAAACCATCGAGCATGTGGGCGTACTGTTGTACAATGCTCTGCGCATGGTGATTGGAATGTCGATGTCATTGTATGATCATGTTCCGAACAAAGGCTACACTTGAGGTGGCTGCGTTCCTGACGACTTCTATCCCAAGCTCAACGCGCACGTTCTTTGTATTCCAAGCCAGCCACCCGCTAGAAACACAATTTGTCAAGCACCCTGAAACCCTCAACCCTAAACCCATATAACCCCATGGTCATCATTTCCATTGTTTTTTCCGTGATCCCAATTCAACTCATTGGCAGCTGCAATGCGTCAGCTCGCCGCGGTCCTGCCTCGGATATCCGAAATCGAAAAGGGCAAAGACTAAATAAGGTGGGAGTTTCCCAACATTAAGGGCGCTTTTCTGGAGTCCCCGTAACAAATATTTTAGTATATTGGGGCCGATACTGGGGCCCCTAGTTACCTAGTTTTGGGAAACTCTTAAATTAATTAGGGCTCAGATTCCCTGAGTTACAGAAGGTCCCTAACATAATTTTTAAGGACGAAGGATCTCCTTGATTTCCAAGGTTTTTAATGTTTTTGAGTGGTCGTTATAAAGGCGCTTAAATACAATCTGGGCGTGGCGTTCACTGGCTTTATTTCGATGTTTAGTCGTTTTCAAATAGATCATGTATTTCCAGATAGATTCCAATGGATTTTAGTCAGAGTCTACTAAATTTCGGTTAGACGTTATTGAAATAGACCGTCGATTGATTTTTACCTGATTTGGCTACGATATTACATGGGCTATTTTTACATTTTAGCTATATTTCAGCTGACTAAAATTCGAAAATATCTGATGTGAGTACTACTGTAGTTAGATTTAATCGGGACCCCCCCCGCCCCCCGCTACTCAGAGGATCCGAGCATCAATTGGGCAGATCTGCAGTTAAACATATGTATTTTGTTCTTAAAACAAAGCATGGAGTTATTCCGTTCCTGCGTTGTTGTTCATCCACAAGGACAAAGTTTCGCTCTAATTTGTACCCATTCTTGTTATGCAGTTCAGGCCTAGCTTCGCTCTAATACGACCCCATCTACTAATCAGAACTCCACATTTACGCAAAGAAGCAAAGAAGCGGGCCTAAGACTGGCGAGATTTATGGCATCTACACTGAAAGCCATGCATCTCTGAGAGGGACTTCTCCAATGTTCCGTGCATCATTGATATTTGCACAATCATTAGTGCACAGGGGAGTTTGCCTGAACTACTGTTCACCTCAGAAACCCAGGACCATATTGACGCAGGGGAAACCTTTACAAAGTCCATCCCTCGCCATGTGGCTGAAGCTGCATTTGACTATTCAAGATGCTGCAGGAAGGAAGCGAGCCTACTCACCCAGTCTCTCTGCATCACTCGGCCCCGACCCTGACACCCAACCAATGTTGCGCCTGCGCAATACTCGGGATGCGAACCTGTGGGGCAGCACATCGCAGCGACCTAGGTGGCGAAGTCGGGACATGTAGGCACCGTGGTAGCGGTAGAGCTGACGAGGCAAGTTTCATGAAATCTGAAGTAAGAGAGAGAGAGAGAGAGAGAGAGAGAGAGAAGCGGGCACCTGATTGCAAAGAAGGAGGTAGATGTCATCGTTTTTTGCCCAATGATGCTGGAGGATGTATACTATGTACATCCTCCGATTTAGGTGCAGACGCTTGGCGGCTCATTGCTGAATCCGGCATCGATGCCGCTGATCACAAGATCAAAGCTGCAGACTCCTTTTTTGGAGTTCTAGACAAGGACCTCACTGATTCCAATCGCTAGGGTGCCAGCACACCAAGATTGGAAACGGGAAGACCTGTCAAAAAAGTGGTGCAAATCCCCCTGGCAGGCCTGCACACATTGTGGCGCTCTAAAATCAATGCTAACATGAGTCCTTCGAGTGCTGAGTTCTCCCTGGCCAACGTTGCAGACCTTGTCGTGGATTTGGCTGCTAGATGTGCACGAATTCTATCCCTCGGATGGTGGACTTGCTGGGTCAATACATGTAGGTTGGATCAACACAGGTATGGATAAAAGCAGGGTCTACAGTGGATCATTATTGCCTAGACTAGCCTTTGTGGGCGGGCATGGTGATATTCATGTCTCTTACAGATCAGCAGCTAATGTATGAGGGCAGGAAAAGAGCAGGCCTCTTAGTTCCGAGAAGCCTTGGAAACTCTCAGTGCATATGCTCCCCAGTCTCTCGCCATCCAGGCATGCAAGCAGGGCATCGCAGAAACCGAGCAGGCGTAAGCCCTGAATTGGACGGGATTTCGGCTGAAGATGGTAGGGCACGCTGTGTCCTATAGGCATTCCGGAACCTTTGACAACAGAGAACCTTTTCTGTGCTACTGATCCCACCTGTTAGTGCGGCCAGTGCCTATGCAGCCTTCCACAAGGCTGCTCTAACGCTGAAAATCCCGGAGCACATGACCTGTGCCTGGCACAGCAGGATGTAGTAGGCTATCATGTTCCATGATAGCAAACTATCAGAAGCACAGTCCTTGGGTCGCAACTGAAAAGATCAGTGATGCGCGTCCAGAATACTAGGAGCTGTTGCTTACAACATCCTACTCTTATAGACCATGCTGGTGGCGGGGCCGCCGCCGCCGCCACCACCACCACCACCACCACCACCACCACCACCACCACCACCACACCGAAGTCACTAGTGCTAGTGATACTACGACAAAGCCGAGGACTACTGCTGCTTCCGCAATGCTAATACAGCATCTTCTGTGACTCCAGGCTATGAATCATGGGCAGACCACGGACCAGAGCCCCTCAAGCTCAGCCATGGGGGAAGCGAAAAATGGCTGAGATACGGCATGCAACTTCATTCGTGCCAAAGTCAAACATGGTGATGACGCAAACGCTTCGTGGCAATCATAGTGGTGCTGTAGGGTCATGAACCCATCCTCTATCCTCTGTGTATATATATATATATACATACCTTCATTTTAGGTGTATGTGTATAAATAGCACCCCACTCCAATCATCTGCAATTTTCGCGTTTCAAGCAAGGTAACAGAGAACATTAGCTTTCAAAAATTGTCGGAAAACATTGCAAAAACCAGCGTTGAGAGACCCTTGACTGAAGCCCAT